GAGTACGTAATAAGACCAAAAGTTGTAGAACTCATAAGTGATTTCATTACATGGACGTCGTAAGATTTTATGTTAGGAAGCGAATTTCAACTTATAAAATTTTAGGGGTGAACAAAATTGTAGTGGATGAAAATAGAATTTCAATAGAAAACACATAAAAAGTCTAAAATATATATTATTTTTAAAAATTAATTTTATTGATAAATTAAATGATTATATATTAACCCTAGATAAAGACGTTGTCATCGTCTCCCAATACTAACCGCGTCCAATATTAAACCTAGATATAATTTTTGTATCATTAATAAATTAAATGATTATATATTATTTTTAAAAATTACTTTTATTAATAAAGTTCTTTTTTAATTGAAAAAAATTAAATTTATATAAGTATGTATATATATATATATATATATAAAATCATGGACGAACATAATATTTTATGTTAAAAATAAATGTATAAAATCTTAAAATAAGACGAATATATGAAATGTTAGAATAAACGAAAATAAATTTTTAATAAAAAGTAAAAAATTTAAAGAACCAATTGAAGTAAAAATTTTAAAAGGGTCAAATGTATTCGAATCATTGAATTAATTTTAGAATTTGTAAAATGGGTAAAATATATGAATGACCTTCAATTATGGGATCGGTGTCAATATGATCACCATTTTTAAAATTAAGTCAATACGACTACTTGATTATTTAATTGGTTCCAATATAACCACTTGTTGTTAATATCCAATAGAAGTGTTTATGTGGCAGTTAATAAAATTGATATAATTATATATTTGATCCTCAATACTTGTTCATGCAATTAATTTGGTCATAATTTTAATTTTATTTAATAAATTAATCATCCAATTAGGATTTGACATGTGTCAATATGTCTTTAGACTTATTTTTATAATTTTATATTTATTTTTAGAAATATAAACATGAAAATTTACTGAATTTAATTTAGAAATATAGAAATAATAAATTTAACATTACAAATATTGAATTTAACTTAAAAATATAAAAATAATAAATTTTTTTTTAATTTTAAACCTTGTACTAAATATGGTTTATAATACATATAATCCATTTAATTATAAAAAAATTATATTTGTTTAACTGATTTAGGTGCACTTATATTTTATAATTGGTCTAGGTTCCAATCCTCATTTGAATGATTTTGTTTCTATATATTTTTTATCATTAACAATACTGTAAGATAAATATAGTTTGTTGCAATATTTAACTATTTAACCAAATGAATCATTTGATCCAGTGGTTTGGTTGTCTTTGTTTCAGCCAAGTGACCTACGTTTAAACCCCTCTAAACGTAAATTATCTATTTTCTATCCAATTAGGAGATGACATGTATGATCATTTGATTGGATAAAAAATAAATTTAATTAAATAATTAAAATTTATAGAAAAACCTCCAATCAAGAGTTGACATATGTCATGATCATATGTTGGCACGTGTCACCTCTTGATTGGAAAGTTATTTGTTAAATAAAAATAAAATTAGGATCAAATTGATTGAATATATAAGTATTAAGGATAAAATATGTAATTATATAAATTTTGTTAATTATCATGTAATCATTAGCGGCATGCACTATTTTGAAACCAATTGCATAAAGAAGTGGTTATATTGACTCAAATTTGAAAATGGTGGTTATACTGACACCAACCCCATAATTAGATGATCATTCATATAATTTACCCTTGTAAAATTATGATGAGAAATAAATAATAAATTTAAACATAATTTTTCATTTCTTATGAGAAGGACTTAACATCGAGAAAGTTTCAGGTGCATCAGCTTAATATACGGTTAAGGAAAAGACGCTACTAGAAATATTATTATTTTGCTAACATTTACGATAAAATTCTACTTAAAATATTATTTGTTCTACCAAAAATATTAATATTGAGTATTACCTAAAACATTATTTTTTTTTACCAAAAATTAACTAATGAAATTAACATTTTCTGTAGAATAAATAATATTTTAAATAATTTTTTAAAAAAAATATTAAAAAAATAATAACATTTATAATAATATATTTCTTTAACTATATATTAAATTATCGTACAACATACATTTTCCTTAAAAACCACTACTAGCTGTAGCAATGTCAGTGGATAGGATTCCAAAGGAGAAACAAACAGTACCGAGAAAACCTAAAAAAAAAGGTGCGGAAAACTTAGGTCAGGCTTAGGAGGATATGATGGCAGGGATGGTCGTAAGCCCCGTCTGGCTAGCTTTTATAAAGACATTTTTAGGTAAAAAGTTCCGCTTCAACCATAAAATTACTAAACGGATAAAAAATAAAATAAAAATTATGATGAAAATGACGGTTTTAAATTAACCGTAAAAGTTATGATTTTTAATTTTTTCAGTTTCAATTTTACTTTTATAAGCAAAATATAATTTTACTCTTAGTAATACAAGGATTTTATTCAATTGTGTATTTACATTTCTTTTAATAATTTAATACTAACATCTTTAAAAAAAATTATTACTTAATAATTTATTTTAATTACTAATTTTTTTAATAATTTTGTCAAAATAAGTATTTAAACTATTATGAAATAATAATATAATATCCACCTTTAAAAAAGTATTGATAATATATTTTTCTTTACAAAATATTTCATATATAAAAATATTAATAATGAGTTATTTTAAAATATTTTTTTATTCTAGTTTAAGTAGATATATTTTATATATCATACTAATAATAAATGTAAATATAATTTAAATATTATATTTTTAATTTACAATATAATATCTATAAAAGACATTTTATATTTTAAACTCACTTTTTAACAATAATCTCAAATAATTATATTTTAAATTGTATTTTTATATAATATTTTTAAAAGTTCGTTTTTACAGCACTTTTAAAATTACTTTTCAAAAGTTGCGCCAAACTATAGGTAAATATTTTAGTAATTAAAATAAATTACTAAGTAATAAATTATTTTTAAGAATTTTATTATTAAATTATTAAAATAAAATATAAATACATAATTGAATAGAGTCGATGCATTACTAAGGGTAAAATTATAATTTACTTTCAAACGCAAGGTTGAAATTGAAAAAGCTAGAAATCCTAGCTTTTGGATAGTTTTTGGGGTTAGTTTGAAACCATCATTTCCATCGTAATTTTTTTTTATTTTTACCTATTTACATTAATTTTACAGTCAAAATTAACTTTTCACCTACAAGTACTTTTAGAAAGTCAAGTCAAACGGTCTAAAAGCTACAACCAAGAGCAATATATTTTACAAATAAATCATAGTTTTATGGTGCTGTATTTTTCTCTCCAATTTCAACTTCTAACTGTCTTACAAGTTTTTATTCTTAATCAATAAAAATATATTTAAAAAATTAAAATCTAATGTGGATAAAATAAATAATTTAAAGATTAATGTGGAAAAAACTCAATGATTGATACGAACAGAGACAGATACAAAATTTTATATTGTGGAGATAAATTTTTAAAATTTTAGGAATAAGTGAACTTATAAAATTCTATGAGATGAAAAACAGATTTTCAATATAAAATGCATTTAGGAGGGGATTGTCCCAGCCGTACCCTTAGTCCATCCCAGGATATGAAGAAAACATCTCAAGAACTACCGTGAGAAAAGCATCCAAATTTAAGGTTGTGGCCAATATTAGCGGCCGTGGAGCTAAAGACGCTGCTATTGTCTCCCAGTACTAACCAGACCCACTTAATAGTTTATTGATTTCACAATATAACCGTTGCTTGTATGTTAAAAGCCTCTTCTTTGATTATCAGAGAATATATAAGTTTTTTTTTTGGTTAATGTAGGACATTGTTCCTTCTTTCATGTGTTTTCCTCAGAACAATGTTGTCTTGAGATAATTAATGATTCAATCGAAATATTTAGGTAGTTTTGGTAGGGCATAAATATTTCTACCAGTTGTCTCTCTGCCCAATCCTTGACCCAATTTGATATTCTAAAATTGTTGAGGTCTGATGAATTTTAACAAGCTCTCCATTAACATTTTCACCCAAAATTAATAAGAATTTCACTTTTATATTACTTTTCATGTAGGAACGCACTGGTATAATTCAAATCAATCATGCCACTTATTAGCATCTCCATTTAGTTGAATTGAAGCTATTTTCACTTTAAATTCTTCCAAGGATTTTTTTGTTATATTCTATTTTACCAAATATAATCATAGGACATTACATATTTATAGAGTTCATAGCTTTATCATCGAGGATTAAGATTCTTAAATAACACAAATTAAGTAAAATTAATATTTTAATATAAATTATAAGATTAAAAAACCAATTATTTTAAATAATAAACCCATAAACACAATAATGCAATTTATATAATAAATTCTTAAATTAAGGATCCTAACAATTTGCAGGAATATTGTGAGCTTAACACACATTAAGATGGGTGACGGGGAGGTATTTTGGAGTTGTTAAGGTATCGAGGGATCTAAAAGAAAAGGATCAGAAGAATCTTGATGAATCACCAAAGATTTCGATAGTTAAGACGGTCTAATCTAAAGTTAATTTACAACGGTCTAATTTAAGATTAATTTTCAGTAAAATTTTTAAAATATTATTTTATCCAACTTAAAAGGTTAAATAAATGATTATAATTTTGATTACAATCAATAATGCTACATTACAACACATTTTAATCTAAAATATTATTCATCTACTTTAAAAGGTTACACAGTTGCTCTTTTAATAAAATTTTCGATTGCATTCAATTTCTTTTTTTTTTACCTCATTAATATGTTGCATTTTAGAATCATTTTATTGTGTTGTAGGCTGACGTAAATAAAACGCTTAGTTCATGCATACAATGCAAACCATAAAAATAACAAAACAAGACCAATGTTTAATGGAGGTCCACAAGAAACATGAACTGATATAAATGAAGATAATTTCAACAATTCAAATTATCCATTATTTTGGAAACAAAAATAACCAAATCCCACAACCAAAAGGAGTTTAATCAGTCAGTAGTCTGTCGCAGCTTCAATCAAAAGAGCCTAACAGCATCAGCAATTGAAGCTTTCCGTGTGACCCTGCAGAATATCACAAGGACAGGAAAAAAGAACAGAGAAAACTCGGACACATTAAATATCGTGAATTCATCCGCAGCAAGTTTGGGAACTACATACAGGGGTCAAAACTCGAAACGGCACGGTGAACAAACAAAGCAATACTCCCCATACAACATTTTCAAGATGCCAGCTGTGACTACTGTCAAGACGATAAAAGAAACAAGGAGAGTGCAACAAAATTAAGGCTCTGATTGAATCTGTAACCTCTTTTGCCGCAAGATAATGTGCATAGTACAAGATCAACTATACATGTACAAGGTTTTGGCACATAGCCAAGCTGCTGCAACGACCAGCACTAACATAAAACTTCGAAAGAGCATACCACTAAGGTGAAACTCAAACCAAGTGAAATAAAAGCTTAGACGCCGAGCTAATAAGATTAAGTCCGCAATCTTTTTCTTCGACTACTGTCCTCAGAACCTCCCTGCAAGTAACGAGAAGAAAAATGTAAGACAAAGAACGATAAATATATATATATATATATATTTGCAGAACCCAGTCCGGCACATCACCCTCTCAGCATTCAGAAAAGCAAGGAAATAGGAATGAACAAAATGTCTATAATTGCAGGAAACAAGAAGCACTCCAATGTAATTATAATCTTGGTACATTTCAGTATTCCTGAAAACAAACAAGCCAGATGGAACTCGTATCCCATAATTTAATGCCAAAATATATAAATGAGAAGAGTATCTCATCCATCTTCACTTCTAAAAATTTATCAGTATTCAATTCCACAACATATTTTCTTTCCAATATCTACACAAAAATTGCATTTCAGCTTGAACTGGAAATGGAATTGAATATGATGAAATAACAGAAATGGCAACAAGGAAAATTAGCGTGCCAATGCAATTTAGAGGTAAAAATAAAAATACATACCCCATCATACCCTACAAAATCTTCAGGGGGAACCACACTAGATTCTGACCTGCATTTTGCATGCACTATGGGACCTAACTGTGGCCTATCAATGCCTTCAATTGATCCATTGGGTGCATTCATGTAGACAGCCCCCCTATACATCCACTCCTCTGTTTCATCGCTATAAAAATCATCAAAAGGCTCACCACATAATGCACATGTACTCTGATCTTCATCAGCAGGAACTGCCAATTCTTCGTCATCCTTCTGTTCTACTATGTCCTCGGCGGGTAAAAACCCAGGAACTGTACCAGTTCCCAAAGTGTCTGCACCATTGAGCCACATGCTAGCACTCACAAACCAACTCCGGGAAGGTTTCTGCTTATGGTTCTTAGACATCCGGTTTCTTGTCACATGCCAATCCATATGAGTACTATGTTCCTCTTGGGACTTGAACCGAAGGCCACATGTTGTGCACTGCCTTGGAAGATCAGCATATAAAGCACTTATAGAAGATTCATGTCGCATCTTGTGGAGTTCTGCATCAAACTCAAGTCCCAAAGAATCCTACGAAATAAATTTTTTCATTGAGATACAATCTCATTGAGATACAATCCCACAGAAGAACCTCATCTAAATATATACCTGTATAGGAGTTGGATTCGCCAATGAAATCAAACCTTGAGCCATGAGAGAACCAATCAAACCAGAAAATGCACCACCCTGAGGTTGGTTAGGAAGCAGTTGACCTGCATTTTGATTGACAGGCATCATTTGAGACGCTGGAGGACCAGGAGGGCGAGATGGCATGGCTCCCCCGCGGAAATGTAATGAGCCAGTGGGCATATTTGGGATCACTAAAGAAGGCTGTGCAACAGGTATTGGGTTAGATGGGACCATACCACCATGCATTGGGGGAGCATATCCATGATTCAAGGGTGGTGCCAATAAGCGAGGCAGGAAAGGTCCAGGTGCTGATGAAAGGAAACCATCACGAATCTCATGAGGAAAGTGTGGCTGCAAAGAAGTTCCATGCAATGAGTTCCGCTGTTGCAATGCAGGACGTCGTCCAGGCAATTGTGGCGCCGTTGTCAAGCTTTGATCCTTGCTTTCAAAACTATCAAACTGTTCAGGCATATATTGATATTTGTTTTGGCCCGGATTCATGACAAGATTCAGTGAATTAAAGTGATTCCTACCATGCTGCTGCAGTGAATAGTTAGAGTGCACAGTTGGTGGTTGAGATTTATGAGCATTTACCGGAGGCCATACCCCAGTTGTCGTTGGTAAAATGGCTGGCTGGGATCCAACAGTAACAGTGCCAAGGCTAGAAGAAGCAGATCTTGGCACAAAAGCTGGAGGCTTTACAAATTGTGAACCACCCTCGGGTAATTTCTCAATAGGAGAGACGATTTTGTCACCACCTAAGGAGGATATACCACTATCCCTTCCTCTTCCTTTGGCATGAAGGTGCGATGACTGGGGAAAAGGGTATGAGGAACTCCAAGCATCCTGAGGATAACGCGAACGTTGAGTCTGATTTAATCCACGACCTGACTGCAGAAAACATATTAAAACGTGTAAATGTAAGAAAGAATATACCAACCAACTACATAAGTGTCAAATACATAAGAAAGACACCGCAAATCTATAAATTTATAAAAGAAAATGGTGTCCAGAAATCCAGAATGGACTGAACAACAGAAATGAAAAGCATGGAAAGCCGAACAGGTGCACCAGGACACAAATCCTCTTGATTTAGGAGACCTTATAGTTGTGTCACCTACAAAAAACTTAGAGGTTGGTGATAGAAAATATCAACTGATGAAAACTAGAAATAGCCACCGGTCTACATGAGCAAAAAAAAAAAGAGGGAGAGGAAGCAAGCTTTTCGAAGTACATATATCCTCAGTTGTATTAAAAACAAGGATGCTTGAACAAAAAAGGGAACAGATAAAAGTTGAACTTGTATACACTCAGGGAAGGAACTGCATCTTCAGGAATTGCTGAAGAATCATCAACAAGGGTGTGACTGCTCCTATTAGATTCTAACCCGGCAGGTCTTGCTCCAATACTTCCAAAAGTTGGAACAGATGACACTGAAAATTCATTGTTCCTTCGATCTGCTAACGTTGGGCTCATATCTTCCCAATCAAACTCTTCCTCTTCAGTATTCTGCCATGATCTTGGAGCCACCTTATTGCCCAATCCATTTACATCCAGCCGTTCAACCTGTAGAGGTTTGCTGTTAGACATTCCTTGTCCTCTATCATTACCATATGCATCTATTAAAGCCCTGAGTGTTTGACGCTCATTTCCATTACTAAGCTTGTATGCATTCAAAGAACTTTCAGAAGAATTATGGTAATCGCCATGAAAATTCTTCTTCTGCCATTCCCTTGTTTCCTCATCTCTGATGTTTCCCCTTCCACATTCAAAATCAAAGCCAGGTCGAGATGGAGAGGCTATCTCAGAGAACCTTTTGGGAGAATCATCTGATGGCAGATCATCAACTTCTGATGATAAAAGTCTATCAGATCCAATCGTTGATTGTGACAAGGGTCCTGAAACTCTGGAAACTGAAAAATGTTGTGGTTTGTTTGCCCCAAATGTAACAGAAGTACGCCCAACATTTCCAGTCGAACTCAATCTTTGCGCACCAACATGTGAAGATGGAACCTCAGTATGATCAGAATCAAATTCATCGTATCCAATGGTATGTTTTTTACCATACAATTTTTGACCAGCAGACATGCCTCTTACATGCCGAGTATTCTGCAATGATTAAGAACACACTTCAGATGCTATTCTGTGCAAGTATAATATAGATGCATGTACAATGAAAGGGAAAACATATGATTTAAAAAGATTTCCCAATATGTTTATCAGTCAAAGCTAACCATCTTAATCAATAGTAAAAAGGCATATGATTTGTGTCAAAAGAAAGACATTCTAAACAAAATTTAACAAGAAAAAGAAGCACAAAGCCAACACAAAATTAGAAAGGAACAGGAAGGGAAAAGAAAAATTTAATCACAAAAACCATAAAAGCACAGTGGAAAAGAAAACAAACACCGCATTCCCTCAAAACAGAATAGTAAGTTAATAGGCCAGTTGTTCCAATAGAGTTGGATTTTAGATTTGCAAGTTTCTTAAAGTAATTGCACTTATAGATAGCTTACTCTTCTTCAATTCCATTGTTGTCCTCTTGAAGTTATAGAACTAAAAAACCTGATATCATGCTGCTCACCAAAAATGAACAGAAGATAAAACAAGCTGCATTTTCACTTGCTGCAGGCCCATGTTAAGCTCTCATCTCATAACAATGTTCCAACTAATTCTCAGCAAATAACTTAACACAACAAAATCTTAACATATCAATTGTCCTTAACATCCTGACAACTCTACCCTCATTCCAGCCTATCCCAAGTGATCAATATCAAATTCAGCTTTAAGTTATCACTTTCCTTAAGTACCAAAAGAAAATCTGTCAAGAGGATCTATAACTGCTAGCAGCATCTAATTCAAAGAAATTTTCAAAAGAAAAACATGATTTGCAGTTATATCCTAAACAGTGCATGTGCATACAACTACAGAATAGAACAATGTGCAAGCTAATAAAACAGAGGATACAAATAACAGAGTTTAGCATCGCTTACACTATCTGCACCTGACTGTTGTTCAAACTGGCGCAGGTACTTAGGATTAACATGTATGCCATGTGTTGGACGAGGAGATTTGGAAGACTGCAAGGAAGTTACAACAGATGATTGCTGGTTTGCCGATTGAGAAAATTGCAACTCCATCTCGACTTTATGAAGGACAGAAGGCGGAAACACTGTAGACCACGTGCCAAATAAATGGCGCATTGCAGGATGCAAGTTAGGATTAACTTGCCTGTACGCCTCACAAAATACCTAAAGAAATGAAACCAAAATAATTAACTAAATAAAGATAATGAATATCAAGCTAATAGTGATGAAGTTCATAAAAAATATTGCCATAGACACACCTCTGGCAAACGGGAAGAGAAATGCCTAACGTAGTCTCGGCCAATGTTTTTCACAATGCTATCTAATAGATATAAAGAAGGAAGTTTCTGCTCTACTGGAACCTGAAAGCAATGCATGTCAAATTAATTTTTAAAACGATCAAATCACTTGGCAATTGCAACGGAAAACCTAATTTTAACTAACCTCAATTATCCTTGCGCAAATAGCATCGGCAATGCCTTCCCCGTGCTCTCGCTGTTCACCGGCAATGATCGTAAGATCAGTAATTACCGGCTTCGAATTAAAAGTTAGTTCCGATAACACAATCTCGTAAAGCTGAACAATATCCTCCGTAGTTAGCGTTTCCCCCACATCGTCATCTGCAACACCGCCGGAAACCTTGAGTTCATCTTCCCGTTGCTTTAATAAAGCCTTAAACCGTTCCGATATGGAGGGCAGTTGCTTTTGCGCTAGTTCATTGGATATGGCCATGCTGTTATTGCTACTGTGGCTATTGGTTGAGGTGAGGGAATTGAGAAATTTCTAGGGTTTTTCGGGTAAGTGCGGTGTTTCTCTGATTCCATACATGTATCAGAGAAAGAGCCGAAACGGTCAAGGGATTAGGGGTTGTGGCCCATCGTGAATCGATGAGGATTAAATTAGGGTTTTTGTTGCCAGATGCTGTTTTAGTGTGTTACAAATACGAGTCTGGGACACTTCGTTTTCCTTTTTTTTTTCCTCCCTCTTTTTTCCCCTAATACGAGAGAAGATAATAATAATAATAAGGGTAAACTACGCAAATAGTCGTTAGATTATATTTTTTTACTCTCCCAATTATAAAACGTTCTGAAATGATCACTTGGCTTATGAACTACAGAGGAATGACATGATAGCTAATAAAGCTATAATAACAAATTTAACCCTCAACTTTTAAATTTTTTAAATTTAGTCTTAATTCCAAATAATTAACTTTTAACATCTCATTATCATATCAATTTAATTCCTAAAATCCAAAGCTTCATCTTATTTAATTATAATAAACATCACATACATTGAAAGAAAAGGAGAAGAAAAAAATAAAATAGAAAAAGGTCTTGACCATGCCACTATATTACAGACTCAAAATATCTGTAAAGTACAAAATAAGTGGTTTGTCTCCTGAAAATTGTATCGTGATAGCGAACCGCTATTTAAATCCCTTAGATAGAGTGCAGCAAGCATTTGTTGTGTCTTTCCTATCCTTTTTAAAGCCCAAGAGCTAATGGCAAAAGATAGGAGTGGAGAACTGATTCCTTATCATCCTTCCTTTAATTTGGATTGTGAAGAGGGTTGTAGTCCAACAGCGCATCGATGGAGGGATGACAGCTTGGGGGGTTGATTTACCATATGATGCAACGGAAGGAGATGTTTAATGTCAATCTTTTCATCGTAAGTCAAGCAAACCCTCATAGATGTAGTCAAATACTTGAAATACACTTTTAGATGAGGGATTTGCCGAGATATTTGCCCAAGATTGGTGAGGTGCAGGGCCGGTCCAATGAATTTTAATGCCCTGTGCGAGATAATAATTTTATGCCCCTATACTTGTACCGTATAATAGACAAACGCTGTGAAGAAGAAAGGTAAGATATGTGAATTTGGGAAAAACGCTAACGATTGTTCGATTGGGAATTTGAGTTTAGCAAAATTTTCTAACCCTAATAACCAATACATAGAGTTTCAGTGAGTATAGACTGCTTGAGGTGGGTAGGTAACTCTTCTGGCTTCTACATGCCCAAAGATTTTTGTTTAAAAGTAGCATCGGTTGGAGCTAATGCAGATAGACTGTGGAGGTTAGTTTGGTCAGGTTTGACTCCTCAAAAGGTGTAATCGTTTGTGTGAAGAGCCGTTCAAGAACACATTCATGTCTGGTCTGAGTTGTTGAAGCGTGGTGTAAGTGTGCAAGCATCGGCTATTTGCGTATTATATAAAAACAACCTGAAAATAGTTAAACCTTTATTCTGACACTGTGAAGTTTCATAGAGGATTTGGCAGTTTTGGTGCGCGTTTCGGTTTGTTATCTCTGAGTCCCTGGAAAATTTTCTTATCATGTGGGAACAAGTGCCGATCAAACTGTCTTTTCGTACACTGACAGCTTGCTTTTTCTGTCAATGCATAAACCATTTGGCTTTTCTGCAATGAAGCAATCTTCAATAATAAACGGTGTGAAGTTTTCCAAGTAATTGACATTGTTGTACTAAGGATTGGCACATGGGCTAAAAGCAATTGGCCGAATTCAATTATGTCGATTAGTGAGTTCACTAGAAGTCATCCAGCATCTTCACTTCTAAAACATATTTTCAGCACCAGCAGACCCAGCTTTGGCTCCTGGTCTGCTCCTCCAGCAAATAAATTCAAAATTAATGTCGATGCAGCCTTTCAAGGATGTGTAGGCAAGGCCGACATTGGGGGTATTCTTCGTGATCTCAACGGTGCGACTCTTATTAGCTTCTCAAGATCGAATGGAGTGTTAAATCCAACGGAGGAGGAATTGACTGCAATATTAGAAGCATGCCAGATTTATTCTTACACAAGGTGGGCTGGTCACAATATTAGAAACTGATGCCCCGACCCTATATGCTACCATGGGCCGTCGCCCATCAGGCACATGTATTGGGCCGGCCCTGGATACAAGTAGCAGCCGAAACTCTAACGCCCTTACTAAGTGTCTCCCCACACATAGTAAGAACAGAACTCACCAATCTCACTGACCGATTCTTGAGAAACGAGACGGAACGGGAGCTTGACACTATCACAATCCAAAACAGCCTTCAGTAAACACAGTCAGAATTCAATATAAATAATACCCAACCGGACCCTAGGGGCCTACAACAGAAGAAACTCAACTCGAAAACACAGCAACTGCATAGGCATTGATAGACATATAACAGGCCCTTAGCACGATAACGGACTAATCACCTGAGATTCTGTACGTTGATTGCACTAGAGTTTCGAACGAAATCAAGTACAAATGCAACCGAACGAGACCACTTGCTTTTTGCCCAAAAACCCACTCGCAGTAAAGCAATGTCAAACATCTGATCGGCTAAAAAGTTTTTACCTTTGGAAATGACTTCCTTTCTGTATAATCAGATCGTCCATATAAATCCGGACAAGGCTAAATTCCAGATCGACTTTGAGGAGCGAGTGACTAGAGAACGGTTCTAGAATGCTATAAAACAAGGAGAGTTCCCAGGAGTTGTAAAATGAATATCCCAGAGTGTCGTAACCGGTTTTCGTCCGGGCACGAAATATTAAATTTGGCGGAGAAATTGATGTGAATAAATAATTTTGAAAATAATTTGTGAGTCGCCATCGACCTTTTGGATCAGGTAGGTTGAATACCTAAAAAATATATTTTAAAAGAGTTTTTAAGAAAACATCAATTAAAAGATAAACTGATCTGCCATTTAACCAAAAAATTCGTTCTTTTTAATAATAAAAAGGGATTCGTGGTCGGTTACGTTTAGGGAATGATTAGCACCCCTACAACGCCCAAAATTGGTACTTTTTAATTATAAATTGTCTCTATTTATTAAAATTTAAAAATTCAAAAATATATTTAATTTATAATCCTATTATTTCAAAATTATATAAAAATATTTATTTATTTAAAAATATCATAAAAGAACTTCTAGGTGCCTTAAGACAACTCTTTTCTTTGATATTGATAAATATTAATTTAAATAATATTGTTTAATTTAAAAATACCAGAACAGGACATCCAGTTGTATTAAGACTGTCCTTTTCTTCGATATTAAAAATAAATATTTAAAAATTACTATTTATTATATATATATTTATGAATATATAAAAATATTTAACAATATAATAAAATAAAAATAAAAATACTACTAAAACAATATATTTAAAAACAATAAAATAAATGAAAACATATAAAATAACTGACTAAATTACAGTAAAAAAAATCTAATTCATAATTAATCAAAATTATAGGGATTAAATATGTTATTTTCTTATTTAATAATTTAGTGACTAAAATAAAATCATCTAAAATTCGGATATTATAATAAAATAAATTAAAAATATAAACTAGGGATTAAAATATTATTTATTAAAATTAAGGGATTAAATATGTAATTTATCCTAAATATATTATTTTAATATGAAGGACTAAAATAAAAGAAATTAAAATTCGAAAACTGAATTAAAAATATTATAAATTCAATTTAGTGACTAAAATGTAAAGTTTACAAGTTTGGAGGACTGCGGACGGGGTTTAACTATTTTATAATTATGCGCATAGTCCTTCCCGAAACGACGTCGTTCGGGAAGGACTATAAAAGTCCAAAAACCGGCTGGCCCGAAGGGCCAGCTTCATTTCATTATTTTCCTTCTCTCTCTCTTCTCTGAGAGAGAGAATTTTCTCTCGCTTCTCTCTAAAACAGAGAGAAGCCCAGCCGGCCGGCAGCCGTTAGCCGGCGTTCGTCCGCCGTCAACCACCGCCGCCGGCCACCGTCTTCGGTGGCCGAAAATTTTTTTTTTACATCTAAATGTAGATCGGGCCGTCCTAATGACGGTTCCGATGTTTTTTTCCGTTAAACGGCTCCCAATCGGAGCAAATCTAAAAGAATACCTTCGGCTTTTCGAAGGTTTTGGTGAGATCTGACGTTTGGCCTCCTCGGTAAGTCTTTCTCCTCCTTTTTCTTCTGTTTTTGGTTGCTGGATGTTTGACTGAGATCGTTGGTTTAGTAGTTTTTTTTTCTTTCTCTGTTTTTTTTTTCTTCGGTTCTGTCTCTCTCTTTTTTTTCTGTCTCCGTTTTCTTTTTTTTTTCAGGTTGGGGTGGTGGCTTTTATAGCCACCACCGGTGTGGCCGTCGGACCGGTCCGATGAGGGGGTCTCGGTGAGTCACCGGACTACCAGTGGTGACTCACCCCGTAGCCATGGCGTGGACGGCTGGTGTTCTAGCTTCTGGAGTCTTCGGTTGAGACGTGGCAGCGGCGGAGGCGGCGAGATAGCAGCGGCGGCCGCGTGTCTCTAGGGTATCAGACCCTAGGGTTTCCATCTGGGGCAATCTGGACCGTTGGATCTCTCAGATCCAACGGCTGTGATGAGGCGGTCGGCTAGATTAGGGTTAGGAAACCCTAACTGGAACCCCAAATGTTTAGGGGTTCTGGTTTGATTTGGACCGGTTCTGGTTTGTTTGTAACTGGGCCGGTCCAGTTGTAATTGGTCTGTAATTATTTATTTATATGTATTTATTTAATATATATTTATTAATAATAATAATAATGATAATAATAATAATAATAATAATAATAATAATAATAATAATAAATATGGATAAAAAATTAGTATCTTCACAGAGTGTTCACCATTTAGCCCAAATGTTTCAAGAAAAGTTGCAATGAAAAAATGTGGAATTGATTCCTCTACCTTACAGCAGAATACACAATTGGTGTTTCCGCCTAAGGTCACGTTACGCTTGAGAAGTTGAGGCCTAGAGTAGGGATTCTACCGTGGATGACTTTCCAAACAAATGATTCGACTTTAGAAGGAGCGAGATTAGCCCACACAAGTCTCCATATGAGGTCTTCTAAACCAAGCGATGAAACAGACTCGCAATAACATTTCGTATAATATTGCCTATCATGACAACCTAACCAAACATGGGAATCCGAGAGAATATTGACACTTGAAGCTCTATTTAATACTGAAATAAACTGATCTCAAATAGCAACTTCTCAATCAAACAATGGCCGATGAATTTCAATATTCCATAACCATTTTTCGTTAGATTTTTCCCCAAATTTCTGCACTGCGCCCCATTTTTTAATAGCCATGGCATAGATGCGGGGAAAGATACTTTTAGGGAGCTTAGGAGAGTAAATTTAAACTTATAAAATTTTAAGGATAAACTTGACTTATAAAATTTTCGGAGGTGAAAATAGATTTTCAATAAAAAATATAAAAAAATTAAAATATATGATAATTTTAAATTTTTAAAGGGCTATCGCCCCACTTATCACGTTTAGGATTTTGGTATAATGATTCTCCAAATTAGATAGGGGTCGGATAATATTTCTCCAAACTCGAGCAATTCCTACCGGGAGGTGGGGATTGTGATTGTATTTATTTGCTAATAATATATTTTCATTGGAAATATGATTTTTGGGTGTTTAGTTGGTTGTTTGATTAATCGGTTGAATCGAATTATTTAAAATTTATTAATTAATTTTTCCTTTTAACCATTAACCAAATTAATTTTTTTTTCAAAAAAAAATAATCAAATCGAAGTTAATTCAGTCAAAATTTATAAATAATAATATATAATCTATATTTAATATTTTCGATTAACTCGGTTAAAATCGAAGTTAAAACACTCCCTAAGACTAGATAATATATAAAATATTTAATAATTTTTGTTAATTCGATTAATTAATCGATTTCGAACCAAATTAATCAATGATCAAAATTTCAAAACATCGTTAATCGTTAATCGATAATCATTATTTAGTAATTTACCCTAATTTTAAAGTGATCCTTGAATCAGACAACAAAGAAGCCATTAACCTAATCAAGAGCAAATCGATCGAGCACAGGAAACTTACGATTTTGCAGCATATTGAAAAATTACTTAAGAGAAACTGGGAAGTTGATCTGAAACACATACCTAGAGAAGCTAATCGTGTGGCGGATTTTAACACCAAACAGATGTGGAAGTACCATGAAGACACAAACTTCCTGAAAGATTACCCTAAGAAAGCTGAGGAACTGCTGATAGTAGACAAGAGAGAAAGCTAAACAGTTTTTTTTTTCCATTTTCAACCAAAAAAAACAAAACAAAGGCAACATATCAAAGAGTATTGTTGATTAACCCTTTATTTATTTAAACAAAAAGTCGTAGATCGTTTTACTGATTGACATCCTAATATAGATACTTTGTCTAAAAGTTTCTCTCATACACTAATAAACTAATAATGGTGTGTTTGGTTCACGGAATGTAATATTATCAGTGAGAATAAAAGATTACCAGGGAATAAGATTACTGAGAATGTTGTATTTTGTGTTTAGTTGGTTTAGCAGGAATGTAAGATTACCGTGTTTGGTTAAATGAATAAAAGATTATTGGAATGTATATTTGACCAAATTGTCCTTATTATATATTTGTATAATATTACAAGTTGGAAAATATTTATATATTTTCTTTAAAAAATTTATATTCATAAAATTTATATAATTTTTTTACAAAATTAAAAATATAAAAAGGTTTAATGAAAGTATAAAATTTTATTTTAACCCTGGGCTTCATATAAAATTTTAATTATAGACTTTTTTTTTGTAAATCTAAAATAGTTTAAGGATAAATTTGAAATTTAACCTTCGTATAATTTTATTATTCAATGACAGAAGAAATATATTTTTGAAAAAAAAAATTAAAGGTATTTTAGTCCAAAACGCCGGTAATCCAACAATACCTAAGGGAAGGGAGGTAATGACATTTCCGGTAATATACCAAAAAAATTTACTATTAGTAATAAAACATTACTGGGAATGAGATTCTCGGCCAACCAAACGGAGAAATGTGGATTTCATTCCCATGAGAATCCCACATTCCTCGAACCAAACAGCCGCAAAGGGATTCACAATCATCTTGACTAGGGACGGAGCCACTAAGGGTTTGGGAGGTCCCCACCTAGCCAAAAGTTCGTTTTTAACTTTTAATTTATATATAAAATTTAAATATTTATGGGATAATTGTGAAATTGTTCCCTCCAAATTTTAGAAAAGTTATAATTTATCCCTCTCAACTTGAAATCCTAATTCCGTCCTTGATTTTGACGCTTTCAATAGATGAAGAATCATAGTGATTTACCCTTTATTAATTTAGAGAGAAAATCACAACATTTAATAAAATTTCTCTTACCTAATGGCTTAGGGGTTTCAATCAAGGAGGCTTTCTCATTCTATGTGAAGGTGTCTCAACTTGAGACATCCAGGGGTTCCTTTAGAACCAATCTAATGTGCGGTATCCACGAGCATCAACATGATTTAAATGGATGTTTTCAAATAAAAGTATCTACTAAACTATGAATAATTGTTCTTCTCTTGAAGATTAAACAATTTATCTTTTTTATTTGAATGGCGATGTTTAATGATTTATCATTTTTTATTTGAAAGAAGAGTCGTAAGTGATTGTAATTTCAATTCTACAAGAATTTATAACTTTCATTTTTATAATGGCTTTCTAGAAGCAAGTAATTCATACATTTGAAATCATTTGTTTTTTCAATGTTGCTACTGCTATCATTTTTATGCAGGTCAGAATCTGGTAGTTCATTTTTTTTTTCAAAACTAAGCATTAAACTACGAATCTTGTTCGATCTATATAGCGTGAATGCTATAGTTATTGATGCTCCACCTATCATATTAGTTTTTTATAACTGAGGGATCTTAACCCTACGATCAAATGACCCATCTTAACCTTGAATAAAACATTGATACCACTATTTTATTTACATAAGATTACAACATGCGCATAGTGATAATTGTTATTATATAAATTGTAAAACTTTATATGAGAATTTATCGATGTGTGATTGAGATCGTATGTTTCGTCCTACATCTCTTTGATGTGTTGGTGAGATTGTATTTATTCATCTCATATTTTTCTTAATTGGATTAAGATTACATGTATATTCCCTCATTAAACGACTTTCTTTACTCATTCTCTCCTCGTTAAGGTGCTTGCATGTTAGTTTTACATGATTTTATTCACGTCTCTAGTTGACTCTTGCCTTATTCAAATGGCATCTTGCTTTCAGTAGTCAATTTTCTTTGCGCTATCTGATTTTGCTTCCAACTCAAAATACGAGGGTGAGGTTGCATGTTTGGGTTTTATGTCATGGCTTATTGCTTCGGTTGCAAGTTAGTCCATTCTCATTGCGTCGATTGTTGACGGACAACACATGAGGTGATGGTTTGTGTTGGTTTAGATGATGAGAAACATGGAGGTTAATCAACTATTGATGGTTTAATTTTTGTGATGTGGACAAAAAATCACTAGTCAATTTGATTTCGATACACAAATGTCATCGATGCCCTGTTCAATAAAAAAAATGTCATCGGTGCCAGTCTCTTCCAATCAGGAAATTTGGGTCTTAATATCGGACATCATCAGACATTGTTGAAAGCCCAACAAATAGTAGGTTACTGTCTCTTCGGACCCATTGCAGCAAATTCTCTGTCTTTCTTTGTCGGCTTGTGTTTTACATTTTTGTCCTGTCCTTCGACCATCTTGTCTGATAGGAAGCTTAAAAAAGTACCAAAAAACTCAATCTATCACATCCCGAAACGTATCCCCTGTTGAAAAACCCAGCACCCAACTCCATAAAGGTGAACCCTTTAGCTAAATCTAAGATAAGGAAAAACCCAGCAAAAAAGTATGAACAGAGAAAACATGGAGTGGTGCGTTTCGATGCCAAAGGTTGAACTTCATGCTCACCTCAATGGTTCAGTTAGAAACTCTACTCTATTGTGAGCTGATTACCCTTTTTCCCCTCTCTTTATTTTTCAAGTTTTTCAATTTGTCTTTGTTATTCTGAATTCTGAAAGCTTATTTAGATGTATTGTTGTCTTCTTGACAGTGAACTTGCTAGAGCTTTAGGTGAGAAGGGTGTCATTGTTTTCTCAGATGTGGAGAATGTTATAATGAAAGGTATATATATGTTTCTTCCTCTACCTTTTTTTAATGCTTTACTCTATTAGTTGTTCGTCGGCATCATAGATCGAAATTCAAATCAATAAGAGTGAGTTTAGCAACTTGAGTGTGGTTTGGGGTTGAATTGTTTATGGATTGATTAATCCTTTTGCACATTTAGGAAAATGGGGTTTGATTGTTTTGTGTTGTGTGTGTGTGTCTGTTAAAAGATTGGAATTTGGGAACACTCCTATATGTTTTTTTCTTTCGGTTCAGATGACCGTACTCTACATGAAGTGCTCAAGCTGTTTGACCTCATCCACATTCTCACTACCGATCACTCGACCATTACAAGGATTACAAAAGAAGTAATGAAGCTTTCCACTAGAACATATCTTTTACCGTAGTTCATCGTGTTAAATCCTCTCATACTTTGTTGCTATTTCAACATACAGGTCATTGAGGATTTTGCTTCCGAGAATGTTGTATACCTCGAGCTTAGAACAACTCCTAAGGTAATGGGATTAAAAAGTTTTTGATTCATGGGGTGTTGTTTATTTTTGAGCTAATGAAATCATGGAAACGTTGTGCAGAGAAATGGTTCTATAGGAATGAGTAAACGCTCGTATATGGATGCCGTGATGGAGGGTTTAAGAGCTGTCAATTCAGTTGATGTTGATTATTGTCCTACTGGATTGAAGAACGATACAGTTAATGGAACTGCACGAAAGAAGATATATGTTAGGTTTCTTCTCAGCATCGACCGACGTGAGAGCACCGAAGCTGCCATGGAAACCGTAAGTTAAAATTGCAGTTTGTGGAAAGCTTGTTATTTGTTCTATAAATATAACTATATCTTCTTTTCTTAGGTTAAGCTTGCACTGGAAATGAGGGATTTAGGGGTAGTCGGCATTGATCTCTCCGGAAATCCAATTGTTGGCAATTGGTACTCATATGCAAACACTTTTCTTGTTTCTTCTAAATAGTCGGTCATGAATACTGTTAATTCTGTACTAGTTTACCCATGATCGTGTATTTTAAATTTTATTAGCATCTGATGTAGGGGTACGTTCTTGCCTGCGTTAAAGTTTGCTAGGGAGCAGGGGCTCTATATCACTCTTCACTGCGGAGAGGTGTGCATTCGTTCCTACTTCTATAGACTGTCATACTACTAGCATGCTTTATAGTATTTGAAATAACAACTACTAGTTTACTTTCATATCTTAGTGTTTGTAGGTACCTAACCAAGAGGAAATCAAAGCAATGATAGAGTTTCTTCCACAGAGGATCGGTCATGCTTGTTGCTTCGACAAGGAAAACTGGAAAAAGTTAAAAACAGCAAAAATCCCCGTAAGATGTTTATCACTTGGTACATATGTTGATACCTGAATTTCAAAACCATTTACTTAATAGATTGGTTTGAGTGTCATATATCACTTAGTACATAGGTTGATTTATTGTAGGCCGATTTTTTTTTCCTGGTTTTAGAATGTTTAGCGAGCTTAAGATCTCCTCTTTTGTTTCGTAAAAACCTTTTGCAGGTTGAGATTTGTTTGACATCCAATATCAGGACGGAAACGATTTCTTCAATAGATATTCATCATTTTGGTCAGGCTTATATGCTTCTGTTTCAACTCTTTTAGCAGTTACTTTGCAAGTATATGTAATCTGCTATTCTCAATGGATTCAAGCATTTTTTGATTTTTTGCTTCGTTTTGACATTTAGACGAATCAACTGTGTGAAACGGTATTGCAGTTGATCTATACAAGGAAAAACATCCTTTGGCTCTCTGCACAGACGATTCCGGGGTTTTTTCCACCAGTCTTTCCGGGGAGTACGGTCTTGCGTCCTCTGCATTCAGTAAGTAGAATATTTAACTTGCATGTATGAAGGGTATACGACAAATAATTTGTTTATGTGCTCATTGATGATTTACCCTGCTGCTGCTTCTTTTCCCAGGTCTTGGAAAGACCGAAATGTTTCAGCTTGCTGAAAATGCTATTGATTTCATATTTTCTGATGATGGAGTAAAGGCAAATTTAAGAGCAACATTCAAAGCATCCGTCGAGAAGCTGGATTTATGAGTCGGTATCGATATCATAAGCATAATTGCACTTCCTACTGAATATACTTTATAGGGCAGTGGTAACATTATTGATCCAATTTCAGTTGCAAGCAAGTTGAGACCATGCTATATCATATCATTTATATTTGACTTTTGTTGATTTTCTTAGGCTGGATTTCATCCTATTAAGTTATTATGTTTGACATGAATCATCTCTCTTTTTTTTTTTTTTTAGTATCTTCCATGGTTGGAGCTTGTGACTATCCCTGCTGATAATGTGTTCTTTCTTTCGGACTACTTGTGTCTTATTTGGTAACCAACTCTTGTCGCTGACGTGACTCGGTACCCAATGTCACCTACCCCTTGACTTTGCTTTCTATTATTGTTGAGATTCGAGTTGCAGGCCAGTTTCAGCTTCAGGTCTTATGTATGTCTCTTATTGAAATAGTAGAATGTTGAAGATGGGCATTTGGGCAAAAGGGTTTATGCCTATTGAAGGCATACATAAAGTACAAGATGTTATATTGAAGGCAAATATCGAGATTCAAACCTTGATCATTTGACCAATTAATGATTTCTGCCCGGTGTTGCCTTTAAATTGAAATTGAAATTAATTTTTATTTTAAGTAAGTTGCACCCTTACTTATTGAACTTTATTTTTTCTCTTATTTTACTCACCGTATTTTTAATTTTTTTAATTTACTCACTGATTTTTGTAGTTTGAATTTTTTTATCACTTCGTCGTTAAATAATTAACAGTACTATGACATGATAACTCACATCAAAACGATGTTATTTTGAATTTTTAAAAAGTTTTAAATTTAGACCAAAATGACGTCATTTAGATTATTATAAAAAAATTATTTTTTTCTCATTTTTTTTGCTCTTTCCTTGTTTCTTTTCCTCATGTTTTCTCCCCCATTTTTCTCATTAGTTTAAACGCACGTTTTTCCCTATTTCACTTCGCTAGGTTTGTGTTACAAATTTCTTTTTACTTGCTTTCAGCGATTTTTTTTATTTTGTAATCCTTCTTCAAACGCTTCTCCTCCTTAATTTTCAAATTTCGAAGACTATAAATCACAATTTTCTTCCCCTTTGATTATTTATTTCTCAACACTTCATATTCTTCGTTTAGTCGCATATCACAACCATTAATCAAAACTTGTTCTCCCAATTTGAATAATGCCCATAATTCATTCTTGCATGCAAATCTTACTACTTAAAACAACCAAGGTCAAAAGCAAGAAATTTTCAATGGTATCTAGAATCCACTCTTGTCTGTAAATCCATCTAGTTTAAGCTCTATGAAAAGAAAAAGGTTTTGAAAACAACACCCACTCTCGCCTGTAAATCTCCCGGTTTAAGCAACCAAGGTGAAAATAAAAAAGTTTCGAAGACTAATTTGATTCGTATCCACTTTATAAACTTGAATCTTATTCTTTCGTGTTTTACCAATGGAAGGAGTGATGAAGGTAATCTAAACTGGTGGGTGACGGTGGGTGAGGATGGAGTGGGGGAAGGGTGGGTTTGTAATTTGAGATTAGGGTTTAAAAATAAAATTTAGATTATTGAAAATATGATGTAATTTATTATTTATTAAAAATATCAATATGATATAGCCCTTTTAATATTAAATAATTTCATATCATATCATTGTTTCTGAGTAAACGGTTGAGTGACAAAAAAATCTAAAGTCTAAAATTTAGTGAATAAATTTAAAAAAAAGGAAAAAATTTAGTAAATAAACGTATAATTTACTATTTTATTTTAATTTAAAATAATTTAATCTTGTTGATAATAGTTCTAATGTTCAAGTGTACGGATTGAGCAATATATAGACTGAAGGTGATAAACATAGGTTTAGGTGTATAGATTGAGGCTATTGGCTCATGATGATTGTCCTATCTTCTTTTGGTTATAAAGTTTTAAAATAAATTATATTTGTTAACACTCATATTATGATTTATGAGTGGAAAATTATATAAAAAATAATAATTTTATTTAATAAGGACTATTGGTTGAGTGGTAAAATGTTAAATAAATTATATTGAGTATGGGTTTGTTTTTTTATGCGATGTGTTTCACATTCTCTTAAAGATTAAAACAAAACAAAAAATAAATAATTTTAGTAATTAAAGAATTAGTTGTCATCTTCTAGATTTTGAGCACCGTATGATTGCTATATGGATTTTGATATCTAATTTTATTTTACTTCACGGATGATGAATTTAATTTTTTTATTAAGTTAAAGTGATTATAAAGTAGTAAATGTTTTAAATACTCTCAACCATCTGATAATGAACATTTATTCACTCTTGTTGCAGTTATTGGTGCTCAAAACCGAAACCTCCAGGAATAATATTCATTTCTTTAACCACCACTGAGATTATTTAGTTTGTGAGATAAATTCATATATATAGGGATAGATTTTCACTATGTAAAACTAACAAGTTTCACACTAATTTATAGTCATTAGATTTAAATAAATAATTGTCTTATATTTGATTAAAATTTATAACCCATAAACAAATATTTTTTAATTCACAATAAAATAATATTTTTACCTTAAATCCCGAAATCTCAAACCTCAAACCTAAATCATAAATCGTGATCCTAAAAAGAAAAAAAAACTTTGTTTTACTATGAGTTAAAGAAATTATTTAGTGAGAGTTAAATAAATGTTTATTTATGGATTATAAATATTAATCAAATATAAGTTATGTATTTATTTAAATATAATAGTTATAAATTGATGTAAAATTGATTAGTTTTAAATAGTATAAGTGGATCCTAACTCATATATATATATATATATATATATACTTTTGATCACAATTGAGATATCTACATTTAGGGTAAACTATAAGTTTGGTCACCTTTGTTTCAATTTTATCTAGTTTTAATTATCCATATTAGAAAATATTATGTTTCGAGTCATTTACGTTATCGAATTATTACATTTTGGTCATTAAGTTGTTAACCCTTGTTACTTTGATAACGAGACACATTGAAATGGTTAATTTTAATTTGAACATTAAATTTTAGATAAAATATTAATTTAAATTAAATTTTAGATAAAATATCAATTTAACTATAAAATTCGACCAAAGGCTCTCATCGTTAATTACTGTCAACTACTGTTATCAACGACATTTGAACCACAAGTATTTCCCTTATTGTTTTTTTTATCATTTTTGTTTTCTCCTCCCTTTTTTACATCTAAAAAATAAAAGATAAGAAAACAATGCAAACATGTTATAAGTTAAGTGTTTAGTTTTTGTTTATTATTTGTGGTAATTTTTCCTAATTAAGTTTTAGTAAATATGGGTTACAATGAAATCCTAAATGAAATGTTTAATTTTCTATTTTCTAGTTCTATTTCAATTTGTTCCTCTCCATATAGGAATATTAAAAAATGAATATTAAGTATGATTTTTTATTTTTGAAACACAACATTAAAAAATGAATATTATTTATATATAAACGGAAGATGTTATAAAAGGCATAAAAATAATGGTTTGGACATATAATTCTAATAAGCCTTTGAGAACTTTTGTATTGACTTTTACTAATTTATGGACATGAGTATCTTACTTCTCATATATTAGCCATTATTATTATGTTTATTGAGGTCCCTCATCTACACAATATTTATCTCGATTCATTTATTTAGAGTAAATGTTTTGATTTATGAAAGAGTGAATGAGGTGGATAATAACTTTATTTACAATAAATTACACAAATTGAATTACGTGAGCATTTAAGATAAAAGTTCACATACTACAACTTATATAACTAAAGAAAACATTTCACCTATAAATCATTTTCTTTAATATCATATTCACATTCATAAATATTTTACCTGCTATCGATGATGAATTGTAAATCTTGGCGGCCAACTGCTATCGATGATGGTCGTTGATAATGATAAATGATGGCCGATGATGAAAGATTTTGATAAAATTCTATGATTAAATTAATATTTTATTTAAAGTTCATGCCTAAACGGTTATTTTATTTATATTTTAGGGGTGAAATTAAAATTAAACATTTTTAACATATCACATCATCAAATTAACAAAAATTAAATACTAAATGAAAAATACAACAAATTGATAATGTAAAGACCAAAATGAAACTTTTTTAAATTTGATTATCATAACTAAACAAAATTTAAATATGGGTAAAATCCAAAAATAATCACACAACTTTTAGGACATTTTTATTTTAGTTTGATAACTTTTAAAACTTGTAACACAATTATTAAATTTGTAATTCGTTTTTGATAAAGTCATTGTTGTCACCTACCATTAAAGAAAACTGATCTAACATGTTAACTTTATAACACTTCCAATATGATATAGTAAAAAACTAGACCGATAATATCACATTGACTGATGAAAATAAATTCTAGTTAAAAATTTAATTAATGAATTGCGTGAGTATAATATTTTATATAATAAAGATAAATATGACACCAACCGCTTAACTTGGTTGAAATATCCTAAGTGGTCCTTCAAATATGCAAGGCTTGTGATATGACCTCAAAGTTTTAATGTTTGCATATGAGTCCCTATTTGTGCTTGAATGACTCCAAGTATGTGATTTGTCTGATTTTCAATTGAGTTTTATTTAGATCAATCAATGTGACATTATTAGTCTGATTCTTGATTGGATCAGATTAGGTAAGGATATTATAAAATTACCATGCCACGTAAACTTCTTTTAACGATAAATAACGTCAATAGTTTTACTAAAAGTGAATTAAAAATTAAAAATTATATTATAAATATTAAAAATTTGATGATCAAAATAAAAATAGACTCAATAAATAAATTTAGATTTTAAAGCAATTATGGTGATTTGAATTTATCAATGAAATGTCATTTAAAATATGTAATCACCTTGTCCAAAAATCACCGTCTGTTACTCCCCACGAGGAAATCACATAAACATGAAAAAAAAAGCTGGTTTCTACGCCGCCGTTCCAGTTGACTTAGTGCATAGCCGCCTAAGCATGCGACGTCGTTTCGCTGGGTTATCTTCATCAAAAACGATTCCGACGAAGGGGAAAGAATAGACAAGGAAAAATGTGTCAAAGAAAGAGAAGAGCTGGTGCTTCAAAATTTTGCTTTTACTGTTATTATTTCTTCAAAGTTATTTAATCCCTCTAAAAATATAAACCCTGCGAAACGAACTTTATTGTTGTTGTTGGTCGCCATTTTCTTTTATGTGAAGAAAATCCAAATGTGAAGCATTGTGCCATCCGTCGGATCGGGATCAGAGTCCTCTCCTCGTTGCATTTCAACTGTCCGATCACAATGTCTTGGGGACTAGGATGGAAACGTCCCTCGGAGATCTTCCATTTATCCCTAAACTACGGATACGAACAATCCGCGGAAGATCTAAACGATGCAGCGCCGGAATCGTCACCGCCTCAAGATCATAAAGAGTTAGGGTTTAAGATCGATCTGGATTGGGTAGCGGGGGACGACGAGGATCAGGTGGCGATAAGGATGCAATCTAAATTGATGGCGGCGCTTC